ATCTATCTATCTATCTATCTATCTATCTATCTATCTATCTATCTATCATCTATCTATCTATCTATCTATTTATCTAGCTAGCTATCTACTATTAATCTACCTATCAATGACTTATCATTTCCCCATCTAACTATTAACCATCTTTTGTTCTCTACCTATTATCTATCTATGTATGTATTTATAAAACTGTCCTTTTCTATTTACCTAGTCATTTTCTATATAACTATCAAATAGATCTACCTATCCATCTGTTATGTACATTGTTGCTATACATGTATCACAAAGATGGAAAGTGTAACAAACTCTAGACCTTAGTAGTCTCCCCAGACCTTAGCACAACTGACTCCATAATGGAAGTGTCATTCAGTCTGTAAAACTCAGCATATAGACAACACTACAAGGTAAACAAATGAACAAAAACTAATCCTTCAACATCCATAATGCTGGAAATGTAGCTAGGTGTATTAACCTTGCCTTTTGGCTTCTATAATTCTCCTTTTGGCTAACTGTGCTTATTAACTGAAGCATTCAACTAAGAATATGTTTTGGGCGTGTATGTGTGTGTGTGTACTTAAAATATTCACCTTGGGAAAGACTTAGAACTACACAGGGATCCAGAAAATCCAGTGAAGTTGAACATCAAGTGTAGTCACCTTCTGGCTAATAAAGACTTTCCATTGACTTAAAACCGCGTCAAAGCTGTCTTCTCTAGTAGATATTCTACAACAGATAGCATGACTGAAAAGATAAGTGACATAGAGAGTTCAAGAATTAAAAGTCAAAAGAAAGGTTTTCAACAAGTAATTCCAAGCTGATAAATACACACACACACACACACACACACACACACACACAACACAGACACACACACAATCAACTGTTTCTGATCTCAAATGACATACAGTGTCCAGTAGACTTTGGAAAAGAAAAAGAGAGAAGTAGAAACATACAATTCATGAATAAGGAAACAGTAAATGTGTTGAAGTCCTTGCTCAAATGTCCTGCTTTTAATGATGCCTTATTACACATTTAAAATCAGCTCTCATTTCTAAGTAAGGTAACCTGCTTTTGGCATTGGGAAGGAAGGCAGAGGCAGTAAGATTATGAGATTGGGCTACCTAGGAATTCCCAGGTCAGAGTAAGCTGCTTAGCACAACTATATTAAAAACACTAACCAAATAATTATCTCCCAAATTCCAAACGATGATGATGACAATGAAATTAGTAAATGAACACATAAAGCCAAATAAAATGTAGTGTAATTGACCACTCTTGGGGCTCAAGTGCAACTTAGTAGTAGTGTACTTGCCTCCTATGCCCAGGGCCTGACTTCAATCTTTGGCACTGCTAAAA